GGTTTCGCGAGTTTCTCTATAGACCGCGGGTTGCAATGCTAACGTAAACAACGACGTTACGTTACGGGAATTATCGTTACGCGTTAATCTCGCCTATTCTCTGCTTGCCGCGCTCCGGCGCGATCGGTTTTAACCGCGGATCCCGAGCGCGCATCGAAAGGATCGTAAGTCTCGTTATGCGCCTCTATTCCTTCCCGAATTGGCGATTTTTCCGGCACGGGACGTCGAACGAAACCGATCGGCGAGTCGAACGTAAATATTTCAAAGTCGCCAGGAGCGATCCCACCGACTAATACCGAGGGACGCGCGGCCGACGTGGCGAGACGAGCGACTCGGCTCGAGAGAAGCGTCAAGTTTTCTTTGCCGATCGAAGTCCCGTTGCCGGTGGCAAGTCTGCTTACCGAATCTTCCGCGTTGTTAAATCCGTGGAAGCGTCGGGACAGAAACACGGGTTTCGAGCAGCTCCGAGCGATACGTGTCGGCGGCAGGCTGGCGCGCGATATCGCGCGATATCGCGCCAAAGCGGCGCATAAGCGGAACTTTCCTCGTGGGCGAAGCTCGTTCGCGTTGCCGGCGTCAACGAGGCATTCGGGCGCCTGTTCCTCTTCGGTTGTTCATAAATATCGGGCACGGAGTTCAGTGGCTCGTGCATCGGAGCTCGGTGCACGCGAAAATGCGGCGTCGAGGCGCAGAGGTCCCCGGCCCGGTCCTCCGACAGTCTCCTGCCACGGTTCCTCGAGAAGAAGTTTCCTTCGAAAGTTCTTCTCCGCCTCGAATCCCCCGGCGTGCACCGTTTGTCCGCGCTTCCCGTGTCGTCGTCTCGTCCGAATCGCGCACATACACCGGGCACGCGTCCCTCTCGGCCGCCTTTCCTCCTTTCTTCTTCCCAGACGGAATGGAACGAGTTGACCCCTCGCGCGGGCAACGGTCATAGCAGCCGGGAACGACGGAAGTCGAAAACCCGGCTCGATACACGTCGTTTTAACGACGCCGCTGGATCCGCTCGAAAGAACGAGAAGAAGCGAACAGTGGGGTCGTTACATCGCGGTCGTATAACGAACCGCGGGACCGGGCTGGGTCGCGATCCAACGACCGCGGACAGCTGCACGACCCCGCGAACGTCGCGCGCCAACGGCGTGCTTCGCCCCGGTTTATCGTTATTCCGAAAAGGTGAACGCTCACGCCTCGCGTACAAATATTCCGTAATACCGTGGAACGCACTTGTAAAATCTCCCGCGGACCCATCGTTTTATCGGTTTATTATGGAAAAGCGTATCGTAGTCGCGAGGGAAACGATACGCTCGCGGTTTCATTTATGCCGCGCTATCGTTTCGACGTCGCGATGGAAATAATCGCGTCCCTAACGTTGCGACTGCCTCGCGAATTTCGCCGGTCAATCTCGACGATCGCGCCTATCGACATTCATTCGGGTCGCGATCTTTACCTTTACTCGACCTTGCGGAGATTAGACCTCGACATTCTATCTTGACCGCGTTTCTGAAATTCTCCGACGCAATGTTCGAAGCGCGAGTAGCAATCGATCATTTTTCTCCAGTGCCCTAGGTATCGAGCTATACCTCCTGGCAAGGTTTCGCGCGATTTCAGACTGATAGAATGTTCCACCGAGCAATTACCGTTAGATTAGACTATAACGCGCGCAACTATCGATGACGTAGGAAGCCACCGTGTGGCGTACGTTAGTTGAAAAGTTAAAGACCAGTCGCGCGATTCAGCCATCGATGGAACTCGCCTATTCGCGGTGATGCGTATCCGATGAAAGTCGGGAAAGCCGGCCGCGCGATATCCGCGCGATATCCGCGCGAGTCGTCGCGTAAAATTCCATTCGTTCCTCGTTCTCGCCTCTGGGAAACGCGGGCGGCGATCTTATTCAGCGGCAGGTAAGTGAAGTCGACTGCGGGGCTCGCGGCGTAACGTGTATACATAATAAAGTCTGTGCGCGAGGCACTCGGCGAGCAAACGTTCATCCACTAACCTTCCCGATGTGATTCAATATTTGCGTTTCCCCGATGAAAGTGTATATCATCGCGCGTCGATCGAGAAGAACAAACGCTGGTCGAAATGCGCAACGCGCAACGCGAGGCCGCGAGATCGACCGATCGCCTGCACTGGGAACGAAAGACTTTTCGTTCGCAAATATTCTCGACGTCTTTGTCGGGTTTGAACAGCGCTCGAGATCCCGATATTACCCGTTCTTCGGTGACTCGACTTTGTTTAAATACGTGTTCGTGAGCGTCTCTCCCGATAGGCCATTCCAATTAGTTTTCAGAGGCGCGAATTTGCATAACGATCCTCGGTCCACTCGTCTTCTTTTATCCTTTCCCCATTGTACGCGTCTAATGAGTTCGTTCCGTATAATAAATTCATAATGATATTACCGCGCCGCGGAGCTGAAAATTGTCAGTCTCTCCGGTGGCGCTGGTCCGCGTACATTGTAGAGTGTTTCCCTCGGTCGCCGGAGCGTGTCAACGCGCACGGTGTGTCTCGGCTGGAAAAGTGAAACGTTCCGAGGAAGAATCGCGATCGTCCAATTAAGAGATAGCGCGTCGGGGATCGTTCCCTCTCGCTCTCGCACGCGCGGCGTCGGGCTCTCGACTTTTAGGGGAATAACTTTCTACTTTCGGCGAGGCGGCCGTTTTCAGCCGTTCGACGTACCAACACGGTTGACCTAAATCGTTCTCGGATCTCGCGCTCGGTTCGACCGGTGAATCGTGATCGCGTTTCGGCCCGTCGGTGACGAAACCTTGACCTCGACCGGAAGGACAGCCCAGAAACGCCGCGGTCGCGTGGAAAGCAGAAAAAAAGAGCCGCGCGCCCGGTCCGTTCGGCGTTTCCGATGGAAAATCAATCTCGTCGGAATGCGCATAATTGATTCCGATTCGGAATACCGGCAGCATCGAAATTAAATATACTCGGATCGGAATAAAGGTAAAAACGCCGCGCCGGGGAAAGAATTTGCATGACGGGAAACGGCGCGGCGTGGCGAGGCGTACCGGCGAGGCGCGCGATCCACCCTCGATGTTATGCTATACGCTACGAGCTTGTGTAAATTGCCCGGCCCCGGATACACACCGTTAATTATGCCCGAAACAATTAGCAACTTGTTGATTGTCGTTCATTCCCGATAAAGGTGGTGAAATATATGCGATAACGAGGGGATACGCTTTCACGATCGTAAGCTCCGGCCTCTAACGGTTCATTCTAAACCTGTGGGGCTCTTCGGCGTTAGGAATATTCTCTGCGGGAAAGCGTTACTGCTCGCGCATCGTTGGAGTTTCTAGCTCGCTTAATTGGGAGAACGCGTACACGTCTCTCGCGGGGAGAACTCCCCAAGTGTTACGGTGACTTTTTAATGAGCCTTTGGCAGCCACCGGTACTCGTCAAGTCTCTAACATGCTGCAGTTTACAAGATATTAACAATTAAAATTTCCACCGTGCGATATCCCCCCGCTGCGAAAGCGGAGGACCGCGGTAACTCGAACGCGTGGACCGTGCGAACCGCCTAATCGTCGAACCGTCGAACCGCTCGAATCGACCGCTCGCGAACAACAAACTTTCGAGTTCTTTCTTCGAAGGTAGCCTCTCTTATCCTTTCCCGACACTCTCCATAAATAATACAGCGCCGCGAGAATACGGAACGATCGATCGTCGAAGCATCACCGGCGAACTTGAACTCCCCGGATAAATTTTGACGGCCTTTTTCTGGCCGTCTCGATACCAACCTTTCCGAGCGAATGATACTCGCTTCGATTCTCCCGGAGCGCGCTCCTCGAACTTTCGAGCATTATCGTTTCGAAACTAATTCAACGTCCGGCGAGCTTCTCTCGTTGGAACAAAGGAATGGGAGAGGAAAGGTTCGAGGTATAGTAGTCGATACCGAACGAAAAACGCGAAACGTCG